TGGTCGACCGCAGCTTTGTCCTTCCTCGTGCCCACCTGAGCGAGTTCCCATGTCTTCTCCGCCACCTTAGACCTGCCTCACTGCATGGTTTTCCTCTATAAAAGTCCCTGGAAGAGACAGCTTCCAGGGGACAACCTGCTCGGGGTCTCCTCCTGTCCCTCTCTTGGACAGGAGCTTTCTTTCCCTCAATAAATATATTCTGCTCATAACCTCCGTTTGTTTCTAAAATTCATTCTTCAATTTTAGAGAACACGAACTCGTCCAGGTCAGGTTGGGAGATCATCCTTCCCTTATATCAAAGGACAAGGTGGGCTTCAGGTGATAGAGTACAGGTGGGAGAGTGGAGGGGACGTTGCCCACTCCAAATCCACAGCTGTGGCGCCTGTGAGATGTGTGCTGGGGGAACCTGGGTCCCCAGAGTGGTCTGGGAGGAGCTGAACAACAATGTGGGCTGAGGGAAGTGGGTCCTGATTTACTCCTCTTTAAAGGGACATTATAGGGGGCCGGGGAGCAGGGGAGATAGCTCAGTAGAATAAGCACTTGCCTGGTAAGCACAGGGCCTGAGTTCAATCCCCAGTTCCGCCAAAAATAAAATAAAGGCACATCATTAGTAGTAGTATAGTAGTATTAGTATTATTAGAGACAGGGCCTTGCCATGAACTCAGCGATCCCCCTGCCTCAGCCTTCCAAGTGCTGGGATGACAGGCGCCAGCTCTACCACACCTGGCAGGTGGCAGGATGTTATAATTCCCTGAGGATGACAGTGGCTTAATTAGGCAGAGTAGGGGAGGCAGAACTTTATGTCTGAGTCTCAAAGTGAACAACTGCATCATCTTGGTGGGCTCTGAGTCGCGGGCTCCACAGCTGTGGAATGGGAACAAGACCATACACCGTCCGGGGTTGGAACTAGGATTATCTGAGATGATGGCCAGGTGGAGCACTTTGTAAACTGCCCCCAGCCTGAGTCTGGTGACATTAGGCTCGCTTTTCCACCCTCAGCATCCTGGTCTCAAATCCCAGATGAGCAGCTTGGTGCTGGGGTGCAGCTTGGCACCCTTAACGCATCTGCCAGGAAGCTGAGGGGGCAGAGGGGTGCAGCGCTCAAGTGGCATTGCTACGGCGCCCAGCTGGGATTTGCCCATCTCTCAGTCTGGAGCAAAGGGCAGAAGGAGGGGGAGGGTAGCAGGACACATCCCTCCCTCCCTCCCTCCTCTCAGGACAGATGTGGGTGGAGCGGGCAGGAGTGCTGGTTCGGATTAAGGGGGGGCCACGCTGAAGAGGAGAGCCAGGGCCCGCACACCTGCGGCCAGAAGCTGCCAGATGAGGATGAGGCTAGAGGGGAGAAAGCCTGCGAGACGGCAATGGCGAGAGAGAGCTGAGAGGCGTGAGCAGCCAGTTCTAGACCGCAGCACCGGGCTCCCCTGCACCCCAAATCCCCTGGGAGCTGCACCCAGTATGGGCGTCAGGGGCGCGTGGGGGCTGCTAGGCTGCTGGCTCCTCTGCGGCTGGGCTCTGGGGGCACCGAGGCTACCCCGCTCCCTGCCCCTGCTCCCCGGCGGAGCGGAGCCCACCCTGGTGCCTGCGTGGGTGCCCCCCCAGGGGCCCGAGGCGGCCCTAGCCTTCCTCTACTCCGGGGACGCCCACCGGCTGGTGGGTGTGAACTGCAGTGAGCACTACCAGGCTCTCAGGGCGGAGGCCATGCAAGGGCCCCCCATGGCGCTCCAGCGGGCAGTGGGCACCCTGGCCCAGGCTGCCAACTTCCTCAACATGCTGCTGCAGGCCAACGACATCCGAGAGTCCAGCGTGGAGGAGGACGTGGAATGGTACCAGGCTCTGGTTCGCAGTGTGGCTGAGGGTGACCCCAGGGCCTATCGGGCTTTGCTGACTTTTAACCCCCCACCGGGGGCTAGCCACCTGCCGCTGGCCCTGCAGGCCACCAGGATGGGAGCGGAGACCCTCCTGCAGGACTTGTCCGGGAGCAGGGTGCGGGAGGAGAGCCCGGCCGGAGACTTGGACGGTGGTGGCCTGCAGAAGCGAGTGTTGACCAATGACCTGCGGAGCCTAGACAGCCCCAAGTGGCCCCAGGGGGACGGATATGTGGGGGACATTCAGCAGGTCAGGCTGTCCCCTCCCTTCCTGGATTGCCAAGAGGGCCGGCTCCGTCCTGGTTGGCTGGTCACACTCTCTGCCACTTTCTATGGACTCAAGCCCGACCTCAGCCCAGAAGTCAGGTAAGTCAGGACCTCACAGCTTTTTGGGAGCCTACAGAGAGGTATACATGGCGTGTAGGGATTAATCCATCAGCACGCACTGAGCGGGGCATAAAGAATGTCCTGAGCACACACGTGTGAAGCGGATGCACACATGTTGGCATGCGTCTCCACACAGGCACACGTGTGGGTGTGCACAGATGTGATGGCACAGGGGGGCACCGGTCTTGGTCCTCAGGTCTATGGCATGAACGCAAGAGGTGGGAGAGGGCTTGCTCAGATGACAGTGACAACCTGTGTACCAGTGTTCTTGGGGGAGCCAGGTGGACACTCCCCAGGGTAAACCTGGTACTGGGAGCTTGGAATTAATGCCCTTACTGTTCAAGAGTAGGCTGGGTTAGTCCTAACATCATCCCTTCTGATATTTAAAAAAAAAAAAAAGATTTATTTATTTATTTAGTACAGGTACAGGGTCTTACTATGCAGCTTGGACTTATAGTGATCCTCCTGTCTCAGCCTCCCCAATGCTGAGGTTGGGGGCTGGGGAGATGGCTCAGTGGAATAAGCACTTTGCTGGCAAGCACAAGGGCCTGAGTTCAATCCCCGGTTCCACAAAAAAAAAAAAAAATCACCCAATGCCGGGGTTGCAGGCATGCACCACCATGCCCAGTTTCAGTGGCTGGCACAGCACAGGGCTGGTGCAGCATGCAGTAACAGGGATCAAACCTGGGTCCTTGAACTTGCCAAGAAGGTACTTAGACCACTGAGCTATCTCCCTGGCCCAGATACTGTTTTTGGAGACAAGGTCTTGCTCTGTACTTCAGGCTGGCCTTGAACTCACTGTGTAGCCCAGGCTGGCCTCAAATTTGCAGAGATCCTCCTGCCTCAGCCTCCCAAGCACTGGGATTACAGGTGTGGCCCACCACAATTTGCTCCCTAGAGCCATTCTCAGCGCCTTATTCCTGCATCTGGCAAGTGCTACTGTGCTGCCTGTGCTGACCCAGAGACCTACGATGCTCCTCCAATAACTGGTGCCGCTCCACTCAAGCAGAGGCTGGGAGCCCTGTGCTCAGGGGGCGCAGCATGGGCACGCAGTCCTACAGAGTGCTCTACAGTTGGGCTCTTCCACTCGGTTCCTAGCAGCCAGGAAGCTGTCAGGCCTTGCCAGCTCTCTCCCTATGCAACCCAGAGCTGGGCTTGGGTCCCCATTCCTTCCCTCCTGGGCTGTGACAAGTTCAGACCTGGCTTGACCAGCATAAGTGGCAGTGAGTATGAGGTGTGTGTGTGTGTGTGTGTGTGTGTGTGTGTGTGTATGCATGTGCACGCACAATGGGAAGTGTGAAAATACCCCCAGACAGATCAGCAGAGCCCGGGCTCCTGCGTGTCTTGACACATTCCCTCCCTCTGCCCATTACAGAAACAGAAAATGATCTATCATTTTTTGATATTGAGAAGGATGTTAAGAAGCGAGGAGGGGGCCGGGGAGGTGGCTCAGTAGAATAAGTGCTTCCCTGGCAAGCACAAGGGCCTGAGTTCAATCCCTGGTTCTGCCAAAAAAAAAAAAAGCGAGAGATGGAGCTGAGGACCTAGGGGAGGGGAACAGTTGCCACAGTGACAGAGCTATTAGCACTGGAAAAGTCTGGTGCCCAGGGCCATTTTGGCATCCCTTGCTATGGCCCTGATTGCCGATTCCCTGCCCCAGGGGACAGGTGCAGATGGACTTGGACATCCAGGCTGTGGACATCAACCAGTGTGCCAGCGGCCCCGGCTGGTTCTCTAACACACACCTGTGTGACCTCAACAGCACCCAGGTGAGGAGGGGACCAGGTGGGTCGGGCTCCCCTTCCCTGTCACTGGCACCACCCAGCCCTGGAGCAGCCACAAAGCCACCAGGCTCTCAGGTTTCCGGGCAAACCCTAGTGACCCGCAGAGGTGAAAGGCCACTCACAACCTCTGCTCTATCTGCAGATAGTTAGTGCCCCAGGTCCCTTCCCAGGGCCACTTTTTTTTTGGAGGTAGTACCTTGCTATATGGCCCAGGCTGGCCTGGTGACCCTCCTACCCCAGCCCCCCAGTGCAGGGATGACAGGAGTGTACCGCCATGCCTGATAGTTCATTTTTTAACCCAGACACACATTCGTCTTCCCCGGGTCCATTTTCGCTTGATTGTGCAGATGCAGCCAGATCAGGGCGAAGCAAAGTAGCCCGGGATATAGGAAGCTTGGCCTCGATTTCATAAGCAACACGCTAAGCCTGCTGTTGGAATGAGGTCAGGGGCTGCCTCTGGTTAAGCCCATCCCTTGCCCACTGGTGTGTGGTCCCAGCCAGGCTGCGTGCTCATCCTCCCTGCCCATCTTGGAGGCCTGCTCTGCCCCTGCTGGGCAAACATCAATGGGTGGAAGTGGAATAAAGGCCCAGCCTTCAAGCCCCACCAGCCTGGCGTTAGCCTGTCTTTAGGGCTGAAGCAAGCAGTCCTGCACCAAAGCCAGAGAGAGGCAGATGCACCTCAATGGGGGCCTTTTCATTCCCCTGGGGTGGGGGGGGCAGCCTTTGAAGCAGGACACAAGCCCTGAAAGATGCCTGGGCGCAGAGACTGCTGCTCCTGCCTGCCTGGAACCTGGGCCTCTCCGCAGCTGGGCCCTGGGAAATGAGACTTGTGTGTCGCTGTTACTGCCCATCTGAACAAGATGCTGACTATCCTGGACTCTGCTTGAGTCTCCTTGGGAAGGGACAACAGTGTGTTTTGGGGGGTGAGGTTTCTGGAGGGGAAAAACTCCCCAGACACTAGGGAAGGCTTCTGGTGGGGGCCCCCAATGTAGCCTTGGGAGCCATGGGTAGGGAGTGGATGGACCCCCAGCTCCTCTGAGAAAGGTGCAGTATAAATGTGCACCTTCTTGTTCCATACAGTGTGTCCCCCTGGAAGGTCGGGGTTTTGTCCTCGGCCAATATCTCTGTCGCTGCCGACCAGGATTCTTTGGGCCAAGTGGCTCTGGGGGTAAGTGAGTGCCGTGAGGACCAGGTGGGCTTGCGGGGAGGGAAGACCCATGGAAGAAGGCAGTTTAGGGGAGATCCGGAAGGAAATTCCAGGTGGGGAAGGACAGAAGGTTGAGACAAGCAGTGGGCATCAGTAGGGCTGTTTTGGGGTGTCTGCCTTCTGAGACGGAGCTCACCCATGGGGCGTGCTGCCAGTTACGCCTGAGCATCTCCTCCTGCTGCTCCCCACCCTCCTGGGGTTACCCACTCCCTCGCAGGGAGAGCTGTCAGAGCAGAAGGCTGGGACTCAGGAGCCCCAGCCACATCCCCTCTGCGCTCACCTTGTTCTTTATAGGACTAGAGGAGGGTGCTGCACAGCCCACCGGACCGTTCAGGTCCCCACAAGGCAGCGCGGAGAGGCTGCTGCAGTGCCAGCCGTGTCCCGAGGGTTGCACCAGCTGCATGGATGCCACGCCATGCCTGGTGCAGGAGGCCCTGGCATTGCGGGCCGCGGTGCTGGCCTGCCAGGCCTGCTGCATGTGGGTCGTCTTCCTGAGCATGCTAGTCTCCTACCGCTGCCGCTGGAGCAAGGCAAGCTGGGCCCACCTCTTTCCTGCTCACACGGCCCACCTCAGTGGAGACCTGACCTACCCAAGGCCAGGACTAACTTGGGAGGGCAGGGCTGGGTGTCAAACGACTCTAAACCTCACTCATTATGCAATATCAGGCAGGTGTCTGAGTCCAGAAAGCATCTAATCACAAGCTTGGTGGTGCATGCTGACCTCAAACTTGCACCTCTCCCGCCTCTGCCTCCCAGTGTGCAGGGGGTCACAGTGTGCACCACTGAGCCTGGCTGTCTGGATGTTTACTGGGCAGGGGCAGGGTGTCCCGTGCAGAACAGGCCCGCCTGCCCAGAGCCTGGAGGAATCCAGAAGGTCCTTCCCTGCTCTGGTGGCCTCTGATTGGAGCCCCAGGTGGCGCTGGGAAGGCAGGGGAAGGCACGGGCCGGCGAGGTGCTGTGCAAGGCCTTGCGTTGGGCATGCTCAGCACCAGCGCAACTGGGAGCCAGGTGGGCGGAAGGGTGGAACAGGTGTTCCAGCCGACTCCAAGGCCCAAGAGCCTCCAGTGCCCAGTCTAGGTGCTGTCCCCTCCGTGCCTGCTCACCGCCCCTTCTCCCTGGGCCGCAGAGGATCCGGGCATCTGGAGTCGTCCTGCTAGAAGCCATCCTTTTCGGATCCCTACTTCTCTACTTCCCCGTGAGTCTGTGGCCAGCAGCTGGCCACATGCCGGAATCCCCCAGAGCCGCACCCTGGCCTCCTGCAAAGCCCAGAACCCTTCTCCTTAGCCTCAGCGGAGCGGCCATTCCTTGCACCCAGCAACGGCTAGAGGGTACAGCATGCTCCAGAGCCAGACTGCTCCAGGCTTCCAAGTGCTCTGGGAGCTGCCACACGATGTGGGATTAGAACCCCCTGTCCCGCTGGACCTGCACCTCTGCGTCCGACCAGGGCTGTGGGGGTGGGGGCGAGGAGCTGGGGACGAGGGGGTGTGTTCTGCCTTTTCACTGCTCGGGCCCAGTGGAGCAGCTCTCCCGGCCCCTCCCCCCAGGTCTTCATCCTGTACTTCAAGCCTAGTGTCTTCCGCTGCATCGCTCTTCGCTGGGTCCGGCTGCTGGGTTTTGCCATTGTCTACGGGACCATAATACTCAAGCTTTATAGGTAGGGCCAGGGGCAGACCTTGCCCTGACACCCCAAGCTCATCGGCGTGAGGGAGTCTTCAGCCCCTGTACCTCCAACCCCGCCCGCCCATTGCCCGCGTCTTCCCGGCTGGGCCACTTCCGGGTCAGGGAGCTGGGGCACGGACCTGAGGACAGGACAACACGTGGCTCTGCACCCCTCCCCCTGCTCCGTGCTCCCGGGCCCTGCAGAGTGCTCCAGCTCTTTCTGTCCCGCGCGGCCCAGCGCGGCGCACACCTGGGCAGCGGGGCGCTGCTGCGGCGCCTGGCGCTGCTCCTGCTCTTCGTCCTGGGCTTCCTGGCTGTGTGGACGGCGGGCGTCCTGGAGCGAGGCCAGCTCACGCCTCTGGTGACCCGAGGCCACACTCCCGCCGGCCGCCACTTCTACCTCTGCCACCATGACCGCTGGGACCATGTCATGGTCGTGGGTGAGCCGCTCAGCCCTCCGGGTCCCTTGGCCCTGGTTGTCACGGCTTGGGCCAGGGCCCTCGGTATGGGGGTGACAGAACGCTGAGGTCCCTGCCTGCCGCCCTCTGTCCCCAGCGGAGCTGCTGCTGCTGTGCTGGGGCAGCTTCCTGTGCTACGCCACCCGCGCGGTGCCCTCGGCCTTCCACGAGCCGCGCTACGTGAGCATCGCCCTGCACAACGAGCTGCTGCTCTCCGCCGCCTTCCACACAGCCCGGTGAGCACAGGCGCCGCCCCGGCTCGCCCAGCCCGGTGCCCGCTCACCGCTCACCTTCCCACAACCCCGCCCCGCGCCCCACCAGGTGACAGGACCTGGAAGCAAGCCCCACTCCCAACCCGCCCCCCAAGTCTCTTTTACGTTTTTAAACTTCTAGCCTAGTGTGGTGGCATACATCTGTCATCCCAGCATGTGGGAGGCTGAGGCAGGTCACTGCGAATTCCAGGCCAGCCAGAACCACACAGCAAGACACTCCTCTCAGACAAAGGAAACAAAAGTTTTAAACATTTTTATTAACATGTCTGCCGTACATAGTATTTACATAGCTTCTGGAGAGCGCTGCATAAACTTTTTTTTTTTCTGGATTGAACCCAGGCCATTGCACTTGCCAAGGAAGCGCTTATTCCACTGAGCCATCTCCCCAGCACACACAACACATTTTAATTCTTTTTACGTCCCCTCCTCCTCTCCTTCCCCCCTCCCTCCTCCTCTTAGTCCCTTTCCGCCTTGCAAAAACTCTAGTTCCCTATTTCTTATCATTTATCTTTTTTTTTTTGTTACTCATATAAGAGAAACCGTGTGATATTGGAGTTTGTGTTTCTGATTTATTTCACTTTGTGGTCTCCAGGTATATCTGTTTTACTATGAAAGACAAGCTTATCCTTCTTTAGGGCACAGTAGTACTCCACTGTATATAAATAACAACTTTTCTCTATCCAGTTATCTGTTGATGGATGTTATCAGCTGCTTCCGAGCAGCCCCTTCCTGTTGGGGGGTCCTGTAAGCCACCCTGTACAGGGTCTGCCTTCCACAGCCTCCCTTCTCCCTGCTGTTTTCCTTATCCCCTAGCCAGTGGATCCTCAGCCAGCTGTGCATCCGTGGGGACCTGGTCCTGTGGTGCAGACAGACAAGCCCACAGGGAATGCTCAGGGAGTTGTGGAGCCTGGGGTAGCCTGGCAGGCTTCTGGGAGGGGGGTGCTGACCTGAACCTTGGGGCAGCGCCTCCACCCCAGAGGGGCAGGGCTCAGGGTTGGGTGATCAGTGCCTCCTGCCTGGCTCCAGGTTCCTGCTGGCCCCGTCCCTGCATCCGGACTGGACCCTCCTGCTCTTCTTCTTCCACACCCACAGCACGGTCACCGCCACACTGGCCCTGATCTTCATCCCTAAGGTGAGGGCTTCTCGGCCCTGGAAGCAGCACCCCCTAGGTCAGAGCGAGGCTGACAGAAGGTGCTGGGGGCAAAGGAGCCCAGCTAAGGACTGTGGGGAGCTATGCCCTGCCCCCGTCCTGTCTGGAAGGCTAGTGCGTTGTGCAGATATGCTTGGAAGCAGTGACAGGGACAGGCGTGGGAGCTAAAGGACAGGGCTAAGGACTGGAAAGAGAAGGTTGGGTCACGCGGAGAAGGGCAGGAGGGTGGGTGGTAAAACCCTCAGACCCTGGATTTCCAAATCAGAGAAGAGGAAAGGGAGACTAGGTACAGACGGGGAGCCATGGTGAGCCATGTCACCCGCACACTGCCCTGGTCAGTTCCAGAAGCCAGGGGTGCCACCCCACGAGGCCATCTTGGAGGAGGTGTATGAGGATGAGCTAGACCTGCAGTGCTCGGGCTCCTACCTGGACAGCAGCATCGCCTCAGTCTGGAGTGAGCGCAGTCTGGACCCCGGGGACATTCGGGTAGGCATGCCCCCCCCATGCTTCTGGTACCAGCACTCAAGGCCTGGGCAGAGAGGACACATTTTCCCTGCCACCCACTGGGCTGAATGCCACTGCAGGTCCCCAGACTCTGGTTTTCCCTTGCACTTAGGTCCTTTCCCTTCCCTCACCACCCTAAAGTGCACCCTGACTCTGAATGAAGCCACATCCAACCCCCCCTCCAAGGACCCCTGAGCCCTGGGATCCCGAGCCTGAAGGCCTGGACATGTATCAGGTTAGAGGCCCAGCTGCAAGCTGAGAGAAGAAATCCCTCAGTCCCCAGCAGAGCAGGATGCTGGTGACCTGGGGCAGCTACAGGCGGTTCAGACAGTGAGCAGACACCCTGATAGGTTTATTAATTAACTAATTAATTAATTGAGACAGGGTTTCACTGTGTGGCTCAGGCTGGCCTTGAACTCACTATGTAGCATATAGTCCAGGTTGTCCTCAGCCCGAAGTGATCATCCTGCCTCAGCCTCCCAAGTGCTGGGATCACAGGCATGTGCTACCACACCTGTCCGCCAGGACCCACTTTCCCTGAGCCTGGCAGGTTTTGGACGCAGGAAGATCTCCCTGAGCTTATGGAGAATAAGCAGGCTCGTTCTTACTTTCTTCTCAAGGAGATTAATATGGGCACAAGATTTTTGGTTTTTGGGGACAGCGTCTCCCCACGTAGCCTAGGCTGGCCTGGACTCATGGTGATTCTCTTGCCTCAGCCTGGCTGTGCTGGGATCACAGGCATGTGCCACCATCCCTGGCTAGAATTCTGATTTTTTTTGGAGGACATAAGGGACACAGCCCGCTGTGCAAGGTCCCCGGGATAAACAGGAGCGATAGACCTCACCTGCTTCCCCTGCCTGCCCACAGGAAGAGTTAAAGAAGCTGTACGCCCAGCTGGAGGTCCGCAAGACCAAGGAGATGGCTGCTAACAACCCACATCTGCCCAAGAAGCAGGGCAGCTCACGCCAGGGGCTGGGCCGCTCCTTCCTGAGATACCTGGCAGAGTTCCCTGAGGCCCTGGCCAGGCAGCACTCCCGGGACTCCGGCTCCTTGGGCTGCAACAGCTTGCCGGGTTCCTCCCGCCGCCCGCTTCTAAGCTCCAGCCACCAGGACACTGAGGGATCCCTGGCCCTGCACGGGTCCCACAGCACCTATGACCTGCACCAGGAGCAGGAGCCGCCCCTCCTGGGCTCGCCACTGCAGAGGACCCTGTCGAGGAAGGCCTTGAGGCCAGAGGTCCGGGAGCCTGCCACAGGGATGCCTGCCCTCGGCTTCCGCTCAGCCAGTGCTCACAATCTGACAGTGGGTGAGCGGCTGCCCCGGGCCAGGCCTAGCTCTCTGCAAAAGTCGCTCAGCGTTGTGGCTGGCACCAGGGAACATGCCCTACTGGCGGCCAGCCAGGCCTACCTGGAGGAGACCTATCGGCAGGCCAAGGAGAGGCAGGAGCGCAAGAAGGCTGAGGCTGCTGCAGCCAGCCCACTGCCGAGGCCGTCGGCCAGGAGGCTGGAGCGGGCCCGGGGCGCCCCTCTGTCTGCCCCACCTTCCCCTGCCAAGAGCAGCAGCATGGACAGCGCTCAGGCCTCCGGGAGGCCCCACGACGAGGGTGGTAGGAGGCTGCCTCACCCACCCATCCGTCACCAGGTCTCCTCACCCATCCTGGGCCTGTCTGGGGCCTGCCTGGCAGAGCCACACATGCTGTCTCCCAGCTCCACCTTGGTCCCAGTGCCCATCCCTGCCCTGGCACCGGTCCCACGAGCCCCGCAAAGCCCCACCTTACTCACCTACATCTGCCCCTGGGAGAATGCGGAACTGCCAGTCAAGAAAGAAAATATGGCCCAGGAGGGTGTCTCGGGGCTAGAGCAAGGCAGCCACTCCTCCACCCCGGCCCGAGCCAAGCTCTGGAGAGCCCTCTCTGTGGCGGTGGAGAAGAGGGTGGCAGGGGACAGTGAGATGGATACCGAGGACAGGCCTCTGCAGGGTGAAGCGGATGACGGGGATGAGGACAGGCCCAAGATCTTCTCCAAATCCCACAGCCTGAAGACGCCCATGCAGCAGGGCTCCATGCGCAGCCTGGGCCTGGCCATCAAAGCGCTGACACGGTCCCGGAGCACATACAGGGAGAAGGAGGGAGGCGAGGACAGCCCTGTGATGGAGAAGGATAGGGCTGCGGGAGCAGCTGGGGCTGTGGCCCCCTGGTCCCCCAGGCTGGGCCGGCCCAAGGTGGTGCGCAAGCAGGCAGCCCTGGCACCCTGTGAGGATGAGGAGTCCCTACAGAACCAACAAAATGTGCACACCAGCAGGATGCTCCAGGTGTGTCACCAAGAGAGCGGAAGGGAACGAGAAGACAGAGGCCCGACAATCTCGCAGGGCCCAGGGGACCACAAGGTTGAGAGAGTGGGGAAAATAGGGCTTGCCACTCTGAGGCAAGTTTTGGGGGACAGAAGTACTGAGCAAGCCAAGGAAGCCCCAGCAGGGTGCTGGGAACCACCCAAAGGTGGCCTACAGCCTCGGGGCAGTGCGGACAGCAGGGTAGCAGAGGCATGTCCCTGGGAAGTGGCTGAGCCAGACACAGGTGGGCTGGACAGTGGCAACAAAGCCCAAATCTGCCCCTGGGAGGTCAGCAAAGCAACACCCCAGAGAACAGCATCCGGACAGCACCTCAGTGACTCCCAGGAAGGGAGGGGGGCAGCCACAGGCAAATCAGAGCCCAGAGAGGCAGCTGTCACGGCTAGAAAGAAGACGGAGAAGCTGGTGCGCAGCCCAGAGGCTGTGTGTCCCTGGGAGGGCACTGACCCAGGAGCCGAGGGTGGTGTAGATAGGAGGAAGCTGGAGAAGCCTCAGGGGGAGGCCCCTGGCACAGAGGCTCACTCCCCTCAGCCTGCCAAGGCAGAGCTGTGCCCCTGGGAGGTGAATGGAGGGGACCAGGGGACACCTCCCCAAGGAGGGAAGAAGTTCCCCCAGGAAGGGCAGGGCGGCCCCAAGAAAGCAGCCTTCTGGAGGGCACAGAAGCTGGGTGGAGACCTGCAGTCTCTGTGTCCCTGGGAGAGCACAGACTTCCGGGGCCCCTCGGCTGTCCCTCTCCAGGCCTCGGGGAGCGCAGGCAGCAGCATTGCCGAGGTGTGCCCCTGGGAGTCAGGAGATGCGCCTGTCCCTGGGAAAGTGGAGGTCTGTCCCTGGGAGGTCAGTGAGGGAACAGAGGATGGGACTTCGGGACAGACAGCTAAAGGAGGCAATTCTCAGAAGGCTAAGAGGACGCCCGGAAATGCAGAAATCCAAGATGTCACTGGGAGGGAGAAGCCTGAGGCACAGGTTTCAGTGCAGGAAGCAGTCTGCCCCTGGGAGAATGTGGACCCCAACAGTGTACCCCCACTGCCTGGTTCCCAAGACTCAGAGAGACCCCAAGTTATTCCCCAGAGGTCATGCAGCGCAGGAAGTAGGACTGCGGAGGTCTGCCCATGGGATGTGGCAGGTGTACTGACCTCTGAGAAGGCACAGATCTGTCCCTGGGAGGTGGGTGCTGGAACGGGGGAGGAAAGGGCCCAGGGAGCTGAGGCCCTCAGGAAATCTCCAAACGCTACGGGAAAGGCTTGCGCAGGTTCCGGGCCCAGTGAGACACAGATGCCAAGGAGGCCAGCCATGCAGGGGGAGGCCTTGGGTCCAGGGGGCTCCTGTCAGCGTGAGGATACTCTGGACGCTGAGTGGCCAAGAACAGAACTCCAGGATCCTGGTCGTACAGGCTGCAAGCCAGCTGACGTGTGTCCCTGGGAAGCGCAGGAAGCTCCCACCAGGGACAAAGCCAAGATCTGTCCCTGGGAGGTGACTGAAGGCACTATGGGGAAGGGACCAGAGCAAGCTTTGGGGAATAAATCCTCAGGGGACAGCGAGGGCACTCTAGAAAAGGGAAGGCTTTCCTCCCTGGGACCAGGCATAGCAAAACTGGAGGCAAAACACCAAGAGCAGAAAGCTATTTGTCCTTGGGAGCACCAGGACTTGAGGGAATTATCTGCCCTGGTCCCCAAAGTCTCAGACCCGTCCTTGGAGAGGAGTGTGGAAGCAACAGAGAAGGGGAAACTGAGACAAGGCTCCCTTCTGGAACACAAGACCCAGAGATCAGCTCCAGCTGCAGAACCCACGGCTGAGGATGGGGGAGGCACAAGTGAGGTGCCACAGTCGGTCTGTCCAAGGGACAGCATGGCACCAGAGGGCTCTCTGCCCCACCCAGCCGGCCAGCGCCCTGCACAACCGGAAGCCAGTGCTGGGGCCAGCACTGCCCACGTGTGCCCATGGGAGGCTCCGGACCCGGATGTGTATAAAGCTGATAGCAGGGCCAATGCTGAAATCTGTCCCTGGGAGGCCATGGAGAAAGTCCCCAAGAAAGGGGCATCAAGACAAGATGGAAAGGGAGACCCAAAGGAGATGGGAAAAGAACCAGAAAGACCAGATCCTCAAGGGGAAATGCCCAAGATAATGGGCTGCAGGAAGCCAGAGGCTGTGCATCTTGGGGACGGTCCAGATGGTTATAGCCTGTTCCCACGGGTCGCTAGTGCTTCAGAGGCTGCAGGCTGCACGGGGGCCCAGGTGGCAGAAGTGTGTCCGTGGGATGTGGAAGAGGAGCCCTCCACCAAGAGAGCAGAGGTCTGCCCTTGGGAGCTGGGTCCAAGGGCAGCAGGGGAAGGGACCCCGGCACAGGCGGTGGCTGGAGGGTCCCAAGGGCAAGGGCAGGCTTTCCTCCAGAAAGCAGGACCTGCGGGGGCTGACGGAGACTTTTCAGAAGCGGCTGTGACACTCAGTGGAGAACAGGACACAGCTGGCCTCGGGGATGGTGCAGGGTCAGAGGGCCTCGGCCCCCAGGGAGACGGCCTGGGCACTGACCACAACAGAGGCAGCCTCCACAGAGCAGGCAGCATAGGGACCCATATAGCGGAACTCTGTCAGTGGGAGCTTACAGATCCAGAAGGAAATAAAATAAGGGGCACCATGGCAGACATCTGGCCGTGGGAAGGAACTCAAGCCTCATGCAAGGAACCTGGGCCCTTGGCTTCAGCAACGACTCAGCCAGAGAATATCCCCCCAGCTTCTGAGAAGTCACTATGCCTCCCGGTTAGCTTCATTCCGGAAAGCAAGAGCTCCCACCCTGAGGGGACCAAGGGGAGCAAGGCGGCCAGTTCTGCCAGCTCCCAGGAAGGTGTCAGAGAAGGGCAGGGACCTTCAGGGCCAAGGACCAGTGTCACCCCCGAGCTTGGTCTCCAAGAAGCTGAGGCTCAGAAGTCTTCTCCCTTAGCTGAGGACCAAGGACAAGTGGCCTTGGAATCTCAAGAGTACACTTTTAGCCCATCACCTGCTTATCCTTGGGACTGCGAGTGACAGCTCATTGAGGTAAGGTCAGAGCCAGCCCTCAGGAGCTGAGGTCCCTCCCACGTCCTAGCATTCAGACATTTGGCCACTTCCCCTCCCCGGGAAGCCAGATGTTCACCTGACTAAAAAACTAGCAAAAAGGTTGCGGCTTAAACCCCAAGGGATGGGCCAGGGAGTTAGCTCAGTAGAATAAGCGTTTGCCTGGCAAGCTCAAGGGCCTGAGTTCAATCGCTGGTTCTGCCAAAAAAAAAAAAAAAAAAAAACAACCCAAGGGAAGTCCTACCCTCTTGTTAAACTCTAACTGTTCCTCCTGCTCAAGAAAGCAAAAGCCCAACCCTCCTCTCAGGCCGCTCCCGCCGGCCAGATGGAGCACTTGGGGAGCCCCTGGGCATGGACGCACTCCTAAGGCTGCTCGGCCAGGAAGGAGCAGGGAGGTCCAGTTGGTGGTCAACATGAGGAGCGCAGCTGAGGCAGCCAGCCACACAGGCACAGGCAACGCCAAGACTGGCAACCCAGCGGGAGACGAAGTCTCCACCAAAGCTTATCAAGAAGCTACTTAGTTCCAGTGGAAAGATAAATGGAGGAAAACTAAAGGACGCAAAGTCACTGCCTGAAAAGCCTCAAGGAAAGAGAGGCTTCTGGCCCTGAATCTGTTTCTGCTTTGTTGCTCTTCACACCTGGGTTAGACTGCAACGGACAGGCAGGTCCTGATGTCCCGGTCTCTGAAAGACACTGGGATGGCGTGGAGAAGACAGGGCAGCTTTCCAGCGTCCTCTGCGGGCCTCCCACTAGCTTTTTACCCTTCTCCGGCACCTTCCCCTCCTCCTGACCTTCCCATGCTGTCAGTGCAGCAGGCCACACTCTGGGGACAGCCAGCTGTGTCGGCCTCCTCCCCAGCAGGACCTCTTACAGCTCATGCCTGACTGCCTCTGCCCTCAAAGAGCACAGCTCCGGGGCAGGCCAGAGTGTGCAGGGAAGGGTGGGATAGGAGGTAAACACAAACCCCTCTCCTAGGCAGCAGCTTCCTCTCTCTCTGACAGCACGGGTAGTTAGGCAACTGCAGGATTAGACACTCCAACCAAAGGAAAGCAGGGAGAGAGATGCCCACCAAGTCCTGGAGGTGGCCGGAGAGGTGGGGAGGCAGGAGGCTAACAGAGCAGAGATGGCAGGAACCTGGAGGCCCCACACATCGGGCAGACCAGGAGTGCAGGCGCTCTGTGGCCGCAGGGCCTCCCCCAGAGGTAGGACAGCGCCCCACTCTGCTAAGGGGCACAGGGTGGAGGTGGCCTTCCTCCTGTGAGGGCACAGCTGCCCTAACAGTGGGATTCAAGAGCTGACTGACACAGCTTCCACCTCTGACCTCTGCCCACTTAGCCCCACCACTGCTGAGCCAGAGTGGGCTCTGGCAGAACAGTCCCGTTGGGTATGGTCCACCTGGGGAGAGCGGGCACCCACACAGTGACTCGCGACACGAAGTATAGGGGTGAAGGAATAAAGAATGTTTTCTCTGGACTGCTGCCATTGGCTCTGGTTTATTCACAATTTTTTTTTGAGGACCAGGGATTAAACTCAGGACCTTGCACTTGCCGGGCAGGACGCACTTATACCGCTGAGCTATCTCCCTGGCCCTTTCTTTGGTCTTTTGAGACAGTCTTGCTGTGCAGTTCAAATTGGCTTTGAACGCTCAGGGACCCTCCTGCCTCAGCCTCCCAAGTGCTAGGATTAGAAGCACGTGCCACCATGCTAGGCGGGTGAGTGTTTGTTTTTATTTTGGTGGTACCAGGAATAAACGCAGGACCTTCCACTTGCCAGCAAGCCACTGAACTAGTAGATCTTCAGCCCCCAGGCTATTTTTCTTTTATTTTGGTTTTTTGAGATAGGATGTAGCCCAGGCTGGCCTCAAACTCACAGAAATGTTGTCTCAACCTCTCAAGGACTGGGCCAGGTGTGTGTGACCACGCCTGGTCTTTTCCAACACAGACAACAGAGTAAGAACAGTTCTGGCTTTAAAGCGCAGGGTTACAACACTGGCTGTGGTACTTCGGGGGCTCTGGCTGTGTGTCTGCTACTGCCCAGAGGGGTAGCTAACACTGCAAACGAGCTCTGTCTAGGCTTCCCAGCCAGCCCTTCACATCTGGGGCCATTTGCTCAGCGGGATTTGATCCCCAGAGGAAATGAAAAGTGCACTTATCCTCTGGCCCGGTGGCAACACACGCTCAGCCGCTGTTTAGCACTGTCTCGACCCCAAACCCATCCAGGACAATGGCCGAGACAGCGCCTTTGAAGCAGAATTTTCACATAAGAGAAATCAGCGTTGAGGGCTGCCTACTAAGTATGCCTTTGGTTCCCCTGCCTCTCTCCCTGCCAGATTACCTCCCCTTGCTCCTCACCCTCCTGGCCGGTTGCAAAGCACTTCTGCCTTAATCCAGGGCTCAGGCAAATAGGATGTGCCCACAGCCCCCACACTAATGCCGTGCATGGATGCACATTCTAAGCCAGAAGGGCTGAGCCTCAGTAGCGTCAGAGTGGCTGCCTGGACTCAGCCCACCCATGCTGCCTCTGCCCGCGCACACACAGCTCCACCTCATCTAGCTGATGCGCTGCTGAAATGGTCGCTTCAGCAAGATTATAGAGTTAGGCTATTTATTTACTTTTTAATTATTTATTTATGTGTATGTGTGTGTGTGTGTGTGTGGCCAGCTCAGCCCACCAGGGGGCGGGGCTGGCTGGCATGTGGTGCTGGGGGATTGAACCGCGGTCCCTGTGCTCTGCTAAGCTTGTTCTAAGTAGGTGCTTTAGACCACTGAGCCATCTCACCAGCCCTAGGCTATTTATTTTTGATCTGATTCATTTCTTGGGGCCTCACGCTTAATGCAGGGGTAGAAGAGATGACTCCCTATGTGAAGTGACAGGCTTGGGGTAGGGAGGTGGCTCAGTGGTGCTTGCCCCACATGCCATGGGTGCAGCCCTGGGTTCTGAGCCCCCAACAGACTCCTAAAACAAAACTCGAGCCTTAAAAAAGTAAGTATGAGGCCAGGAATGTAGCTCGGCAGCACAGCACCTGCCCAGCAAGAGCAAGGTCTTGAATCCAATTCCCAGTTTAAAATAAAAAGAAAAAAATATCAAAGTTAAAATGTTGGAATTTTTTTTATTATTGTTTTTGGGGTGCTGGAGCTGGAACCCAAGGCCTCACACACGTTAGGAAAGTACTCCACCAGAAGTCTTACCCAGTTATATTTCTGAGACATGGTTTTCCTATATTGCCCAGGCCGGCACTGAACCTGAGAGCCTTTGTCTTAGCTTGGGCAAGGCGCTGTTTTGTTCTGTCCTTGGGAGACAGGGTCTCGCTAAATAGTTCGGGCTGGCCTTGAGCTCACTTTGTAACCCAAGCTGGTCTCAAACTTGCAACGATCCTCCTACCTCTGCCCAGCTATGGTCCTGTGTTTACAAGAGGGCCTGCACTAGAGAAATGAAAGGAACAATGCCACGAGCCCAACATGTTGCCAGGGAGAGTGATTTCCTGTTTTTCCTCAGGTGACACAGGAGAGCAGACCTGAAGCCCAGAGCCTCTGGGCAGTCCCATCAGCTGGAAGGCGTGAGAAGGGCCGGGCTGCCCGCTCCCCACAGGGCCATCCTCTGGGGCTTGCCCTCCCCACAGGGCTGGAAGAACAGCTGACCAGTTTCCCAAATGTGTCAACGCTCCTTTCTCCTGCCTCCTTCCAAGTTTCCAGAGGGCACACAGGAAGCAGTGAAGGACAACACGAGCCAAAGGCTGAGGAATAAATTCTTTCTTTGCATTTATTCTTCTAGAAAATGTAAATGCCGGTTCAGTAAGGCCGGGTATGAGAAGACACACTCTTGAGTGCTGCCCTATTTTATAGACACTGATTCTTCTCCAGACCTGGACTTCTGGAAATCACACTGCCAACCGCGAGGCCTTTCACTTCTGCAATCTGAAGGCTGGTCTTCCCTCCTCCTGAACTGGCAGTATGAACAAAACCCACCACTTGATGGCATTTTATTTCAGGTTCTAATCCCTGACTAGACAGGGAATGCTGCGGGTCTGCTCCCAGTCTGCATGAGAAATCACACTGGTACAGCTGGGCCAGGGAGACAATTCAGTGGCATAAGCCCCTGCCTGGCAAGTACAAGGTCCTCAGTACCAAAACAAAAACAAAAATAAAAAACTGGTACAGGTGTTCGTTCTCCTCGGCATCCAGCCCTTCACCTGGACTCAGAAACTGGTCACAGTGTAAACAGACAGAGGGGCTAGGTGGGCATGGGAGTGCATGCCTATAATCCCGGCACCTGGGAGGTTGAGGCAGGAGGATTACTGTATGAGGCCAGCACGGGCTACGAAGTGAGCTCAGGCTAGCCTGTACTGCATAGTGAGACCCTGTCCGAAAAACACAAAAAAAAACAGAGACGGACCAACCCTGTGCACCTCAGCCACCTCTGGGCCCAGCCTGAGCCAGGGCAATGACAAGTTGGCCAAGAAGACTCCTGAGGGGGGGGACAACAGGTGGCCTCCAGCAGCCTCGCCACTCACATTTCATCCTCCCATCAAGCTAGGTGAGGGCTGGGAGCCTCTCCAGGGGCCTCTTCTTGGTTCTCCCCTGGCTGCGGCTGGGGGCCGGGAATCATCACCGTCTGAAAGAGCAGGAGCCATTACTATCCACCCAGCCCCAGCTCCTGGTGTGCACCATCCCCTCTCTCCACTAGGTGGAGCCCAAGAAGCACAGCTCAGGAGGCCACCCCACATCCTGCCTCACCTTAAGGATGGGCTGCTTTGGGGGCGCCCACGGGGGAACGATCTTGGCATGCATCCTCCAGCCCCCATAGGGATCTGTCAGGTGTCTCTCAAACACCACATACTCGAGGACGTCCTTGGGCACATCTTCCTGCCCATACATCAACCGGCCAAACCGATCGTAGATAGCCAGAGTCTGCAGGGACAGAAGCCAAGCCAGCTCTTAAGCTTCTTGTTTCTGCTGGCTTTTTTTTTTTTTTTTGCTGAAGCAGGGATTGAACTCAGGCCCTTGCGCTTGCCAGGGAAGCGCTTATTCCACTGAGCCATCTCCCTGGCCCTGGCTTTTTGTGGGTTTTTTTGTTTTTGTTTTTGGCAGAACGAGGGATTGAACTCAAGTCCTTATGCTTGCCAGGGAAGCGCTTATTCCACTGAGCCATCTCCCGGCCCCTGGCTTTCTGTTTTGTTTTTTTTAAAAGAACTTTATTTATTTGTGTGTGTGTGTGTGTGTGTGTGTGTGTGTGTGGCCAGCTCAGCCCACCAGGGGGCGCGGCTGGCTGGCCTGTGGTGCTGGGGGATTGAACCGTGGTCCCTTGTGCTTTGCTAAGCTTGTTCCAAGTAGGTGCCTTAGACCACTGAACCATCTCACCAGCCCTGGCTTTCTGTTTTTAACACACAACCATTTTGTGAACAAATTATGCTTCAATTCTGAACACAAAACTGACCAACCACTAGGGCAGGAGAACACCAACAGGTCCTATAGGACAAGCCAGGAAGATCACCAGGAACCTTCCTTACAAGCTACAGTGCTGGGGCCGGGGTGTAGCTCATGAGGCAGCAGCTGCCTTTATCCCACCAGGCCCTGGCTTCAATCCCCAGCACCCCAGGAACAAAACAGCCAAACCCACAACCCCGAATCAGCCGCCATAACGAGCCTACCTGCCTCGAGTGCATGCGCACTGTGACCTGGCCAAACAGGCTGCCCTGGCTCACCATGCTGGAGCAGCGAGCCTGAACCACTTGGGCTGGCTCCAAAGACTCCACGAAGCTCCAGCGGACAGTCTTGTACCTGAGGTCCCAGACCATGTCCTGAGGTGAGCAAACAAAGTCACTGGGGCGCACAGTGCTCCCACCCCTGCCCTCCCTGCCCTCGGTTCTCAGACTGAGGCTGTGCTTCCCAGCGGATGCTCTCTTGTGCCCGTTCTTAAGTTGTGATTAAGTGACTGGCCACGCTCACCTCATGGACACTACTGATTCGAGACCTGCCCACCTCCCTGCAATCCCTTCTCCAAGTCAAAACAAATCACAGGGGCTGGAGAGATGGCTCAGTGGTCTAAAGCACCTACTTGAAACAAGCTTGGCAAAGCATAGGGACCACGGTTCAATCCCCAGCACCACATGCCAGCCAGACCCGCCCCCTGGTGGGCTGAGCTGGCCACACACACACACAATAAATAAATGTAATAAATAAAAATAAATAAATATTTAAAAAAAAAACAAAAAAAAACAAATCACAGCCTGTGCCAAGGCACCATGTGGTGACCTACCAGCCACCACACATACTGCTCGCTAGGTGTGCCCTTCCTCACACCCTTCCACAGGCAGAGGTGGTAATTTTACAGGGACACAAAGCTGTGCTGCTAAGACTACATTTGCTAGATTTGTCCCTGGAGATGTTGATAGAAACTCAACTCCTACTGGTAGAAACTGAAGCTGAATTTGTAATGAATTATGTTTGAACCTTTAAGGGAACCACAAAATCCCTACTGGTGGAGGTTCCCAAAGTCCCCAGGTCATCAGGCTTGGTGGTACACACCTATAATCCCAGCACCCAGGAGGCTGAGGCATGAGGATTGAGCTTGAAACCAGCCTGCACTACCAAGTGAGCTCAAGGCCAGCCTGAACTGCATAGCGAGACCTTGCCTCAAAAAGACACCCCCCAAAGACACCCCAAAGCCCCCATATCCCATCGCCATGTAACAAGCCTCACAACTGCTGCTAAACTTCTGCTATGATAAAAGACTTGCATGTGGAGCTATGGCTGGACCTCAGTTCTACCTGTGGTCTCAAGGCCACCACACAGGGAAGGTACCTTCTCTGTCCTCAGCTGCCACGTCCCTTCCCAGAGTCTGCCTCAAGTCACCACTGCTCAACTGAGAACATGTGACTTAGGCTTGAGCCTTAAACGGGTTCTTCTTAAGGAAAACCCCAGGCTATGTCTACCACCTGTGCCCTCAGGCGTCCCACAGAGGCTGGGATCCTACCGGGAAGCAGTGCTCAGTGACCAAGGTGTGGAGCCGCTTGTGGTTGGAGCTAGGAGAGAAAGAGACAGCTGTCAGGAAGCCTGCTGGAGGATACCCTCACGCAGGCTGAAAATAGCCCTGCAAGTGGAAGAAGCCCATTCATTGTTAGACATTTTCTGCGTATCTACTTTAGTAAGCCAGACAATATGCTCAGCTCTAGGGACACAAGAGATGAACAATGTACTTTACCAGAAATATATGAGACCTAACAACACAGTAAAATTAATTTGCATCTCTGGAGCAGAAAGAAATTTCTCTGAAACCCTTCACAGCAAGGACTCCCCACTGGGCCTAGAAACTTATTCATGCACTACGCTGGGGTGGGGAACACAGTGTAACAATGGGGGATCAATCATGTGCTGATCAACGCTGCCTCATCTCCTGCTTGGCTTGAGTATCAGGGTATCAGCACCCTGAGGCTGATCTCCTCTTTCCGCTCAGGCACCAGCATTACCAATGGCTCAACTCCTACCTGACACTTACCCCTCAGCCTCTGATCTTTCCTGGCTCAGTCCCACCATGCTGCCATCTTTGTTACTGGTCATAATGAAAACAAACTGTAAGCCAGGCTGCAGCGGAGAGGGAGTTTTAAGAGGGTTTTTATCTAAGAACTCTCAAATAAACTTAGGGTCACAAGTTTCTCTCAGACACACCCGACTTTCCCCCAGTTTGGTATCTTACAGTCAGTTAGCTCTTTATTCCCTTTGAAAAACCTGTGCTCTGAGAACAGAGAGGGTCAGGATCAGCTCTACTGCGCGGCTCTGCTTGCCTTCCTCCTCTATTCACAACCGGAAAATTCCAGTCTTTTTTCCCTCTGTAATCCTCGACTAAGCTGAGGTGACAAATGCTGTGACAACCACCACGGCTGGCACCTCTGATGAACACATCCTCTTCACCATCCTCCCCTAGAAATCTTCAGCAGAAACAAATTCCATTACAAGTTCATTTTATTTTAGAAGAGCCTACAATAAAAAAACAAAAGACATCTGCTTCTGCAGCATAATGCACTGCGCTAATGCACAACCACGCCTCCTACAAACACCCTGAAACGCTGCATAAAGCAGAGCCGGCCGCATGCCAGCGTGCTGGGGATGCAGCTGGCTTAGGCTACAGCCACACGTGGATGCAACCCTGGGAGCTGAGGATGCATTTGCTCCTAACTGCCACACTTCCCTTCAGTCCTGGGCCAAACAGTAGCACAGGCCTGCTGTACAGCCCCGTGTCTCCAGGCAATTTCATCCTGCAGACTGGTGATAGGTTTTTTGGAGATGCAGGAAAGAGATAGGAAAGATAAAAGAGGCCTTTATTAACTCCAAAGTAATGGAGAAGATTGAGGGTAGAAGGGTCAGGTAGATCCTCTGGCCGAGACAAAGAAAGATGGGGCTTTTATGAATTTTGCTAGGGGTGGAGTTTGAGGAGGATGTTTAGAAATAGCTGAGGTAGGGCCGGCCAGAGAGCTCAGTGGACTAAAGCGCCTGCTTAGGCAGAGTGCAGCCTCTGGGATTTGATCCCCGGTGTGCCATGCCATGCCAGCGCCAGCCCCAGCCCCCAGTGGGGGTGTGATGGGGACTGAGATGAGTGACTGAGACTGGGTGTGGTGGCATGCACCTGCAATCCCTGCACTTGGGAGGCTGAAAACAAGAGAATCACTACGAGTCCGACCTGCATAGTGAGACCGTGTACCAAATACATTAAAAAACAAAAGAAAAGAAAAACCTGGGCTGGAGAGATGGCTCAGTGGTCTAAAGCACCTACTTGGAACAAGCTTGGCAAAGCACAGGGACCGCGGTTCAATCCTCCAGCACCACATGCCAGCCAGCCGCGCCCCCTGGTGGGCTGAGCTGGACACACACACACACACACACACACACACACACACACACACACACACACACACACAATAAAAATGTTAAAATAAAAAAAAATTTAAAAAAAAAAAAAAAAGAAAAACCTGAGGAGCCGACTCAGGTCTTCCCTGAGGTGGCAGGAAAGGTAAAAGGAAATTGTACCCTGTGCTAAGTTGGAAAAGGGGGGAGGTGGTCTCTGGGAAGATAAGCTGTCATTTTAAGGGCTTCAGCCATATTAGACAACCACCATACTAATTTAGCAATTCATATTAGGGCCAGAGCCTACCAACTGGTAGTGCAGAAAAGGAAAAGGTCACAATGAAAAATTTAAGTATAGCTTCTGCCAAAAGTGCACTTCTTACATACCACAGTGAAGTCAACAACCCTAAACTGAAGCACTGTCAGAGTCCATCTGTACACACGTTTTAACACACACTTAGCCAGACATGGTAGTGCGTGCCTGTAATCCCACAGGCTGGGGCAGGACTGTAGACTTGAATCGGCCTGGGCCACAAAGAGACCCTGTTTAAAAAAAACACACACACACACACCAGTCGGGGTGGTAGAGCAAGTGTGTACTTCTAGCACTCTGGAGGCTGAGGCTGGAGGACCCCAAGCATTGAGGCTAGCCGAGGCTCTACAGTGAATATGAGGCCAATCTGAATCACACAGTGAGACCTTACTTGAAAAAACAACCAAACAAAAAATCGTTATCTGACTAATGCTAGCTCTGGGGGTGGACAACGTGGCTCTGGGGTACAGCTTGTGTTTCTAGCATGCTAAGGCTCCAGTTCAATGGGAACATTTGTAACCTAGATTGCTTGGAATTCTCTTAAAAGAAAAATCTCTGTTGAAGCTGGGAATGGTGGTACATGCCTGTAATTCCAGCACTTGGGAGGCTGAAAACAGGAGAATCTCTACGAGTCTGATCTACGTAGTGAGACTCTGTATACCCTGACCTAAATTTAAAAAAAAAAAATTCCCTAAGTGGGCTTAATGAAGTGAAAGAAACCAAAAATGAATGAAATATATTAAAGACATGAAAATAAGAAGAAAAAAATAAACATTTTATAAAGCAACCAGACTTCCTAGAGCTGAAAAGTACAATAAGTAACCTAAAAAGGCACCAGGGCAGTGGTGGCAAGCGAAGGCTGGTGTGCTGTAGCTGACTGATTGTTCTCACCGACAGCTCTAAAAGGTTCACCATCATCGTACTAGAGGGCTTCGACAGCAGATCTGAGCAGGCAGGCAGGGTTGGAGAACTGGTCGGCAAGACAATTAAAATTCTCCAAACTAAGATGCAAAAGAAGAAAAGTGAAGAGAACCCACGGGGCCTGGGGGACAGCATCAAGTGTGCCACACACGTCACAGGAGTCCCGGAAGAAGCAAGGATGGAGTGGGAAAAGTATTTCAAGAACAGCTAAAAACACCTCACAACTGATGAAAGATAATGAATATATACATCCAAGATGCTCAACAAAATCTAACAAGGAAAAATAGGAATAAAATGACACTAAGACACACTGGAAAAAGATGTTCTTGTAAGCACCGAGAGAACTGACTTATCATATACACAAGATCTTTAATAAGATTACAGTAATTTTATGATAGAAACTACAGGGGCCCAACAATATAGCTCAGCAGCATGGTGCCTGCCTGGCAAGCTCGAGGCCTTGAGTTCAATTCCTGGCACCTCCCACTACCAACTCCCCCAAATAAAAGAAACTACAGGAGCAGTGAAACAACATATTTAAGAACCAACTTCTTGGTTCTTGGCTCTGTATCTACCAAGAATTCTGCTGACAGAACAACAATCCTTTAATCATAGTTGCTGGCAGCTGTGGTGTCATGCGGGTACGCCATGCATAGCACCTCCTTGCTGTGTACTCAAGGGTGGAGGGAGTAAGGAAACTCCTTCAGGCCCTGTTTCCAACTGAGAGGCCCCTAGCTGTATAACCAATCACCTCCCAGAGGACTCCCAGCCTCACACTACCATCACCCTCGGTCTGTGATTTCAAGTTTGTTTGGGAGACACAAAATCT